CATTTGAACGCCAAATAAATCTTTGCAAGTAGAAACAGTAAGATATGTATCAAAAGCAGCTGGGGAGTGGATGGTGTATATCTACCGGATGAGTAACTTCTAACTTTTATAGCTTTAGGCTACATAACATGCAAACCCCTATGGACATGGAGCAAATGCCAAATACTTTAGATTTTATTATCACAGAAGTGATAAGGAATGATAGCATACTTTGGAGAGGAACAGACTTTAACGTACCAGTACAGAATTTCTCCAATTCTTATTGACTAAACAACTGTGTAATTGGAAGCTATTATTATTCATTTGGAAAGGCAGCAAGGTAGAGAGGAAATAGCATTAGACTTGAAATCAATAGAAATCAACATCTTACCTTCTGAAATACTTTCTAGCATCATGATTGTAGGACCACACATTTAGAACCAGAATCATTCAACCTCTGTAAATCTCAGATTTCTCATCTATAAAATGCAGATAATCAAACATGTAGCTCCCTATTACATAGGACTGTGATAAGAAGGGGGGGGGGTAGGGGAAGCGTTTTAAACATTAAAACACTATGGGGAATGGGGGGTAGCTAGGTGGTGCAGTGGCCAGAGCACAGACCTGGGTTCAAATCTGACCTCCAACACTTACTAGCTATATGACCATAAGTAAATTATTTAACCCCAATTGCCTCCAAAAATAAATAAATAAATAAAAACACAACACTTGTGGGACTATGAGCTGTCAACAATCATTATGGGGGAAACGCACACACACACACACACACACACAAAAGGAACATCTGTGTTTGAAAATATCTGAGAAACTTCAGCAACTGTAATAATTTCTCAACAGCCCCTGCCTCTCCGCGATCCTCCAAGGATGGAGTAAAACATGCCCTTTGTTAGCTTTAGATTGCATTTATTAAAAAGAGTCCTCTGATATCTTTGATCTCCTTGTCATCATTTCTCTTCATTTATTTATTTGTTTGTTTGCTCGTGTGTTTATTTATTTGCTCACTCATTTATTCATTCATTTATTTATTTATTTAATTTATTTGTTTGTTTTTGGTGGTCTTCTCTGTCTGAGAAAATAAGCTAGATAGCTGAGAGTTTGTGTTATGTAATGGTTAGAGGACTGGCATTGTCCAAAAGAGCTCAGTTCAAATATCACTTTTACCATATAGCATTTCCATGGGCAAGTCACTACCCTAGGCAATCCTCTATTACTGCAAGTTAAAGAGGAAGCTGCTGACTTCACTTATTTGAGGAAGTATCCCAATCTGAAAGTTCCTATAGCAATAAAATCCCAGATCTAGTCTCGATCCCTATCTTAAAATAACATTCTGTTAGTTACAACACACTCTTTTATCAGTCCTTTACCCCCCCACTTCTTGTGCAAGTTGCCTATAGCCACAACTACCATTTTTGTTTCATTCTGAGTGGCTATGTGGAATAGTGGACAGAATACTGGCCTTGGAATCAGGAAGACCTGAGTGTGAATTTTTTTTTCTTTGGTGAGGCAATTGGGGTTAAGTGACTTGCCCAGAGTCACACAGCTAGTGAGTGTCATGTGTCTGAGGCCAGATTTGAACTCAGGTCCTCTTGACTCCAGGGCTGGTGCTCTATCCCCTGTGCCACATAGCTGCCCCTTGACTGTGCATTCTGCACTCACTTGCTGTATAACCCTGGGCAGCTCATTTAATCTCTCCAAATTTGAGTTTCTTCGTCTGTAAAATGAGTGAATTGGAATTATTGACCTCTGAAGGTCTCTTCCAGCTCTAAATCGATCATCTTATAATTTTCTCTTTATTAATACTTTTTAACCTGCTAAAAACAAAGTTTCTGTCCTTGCTATTCTATCAAAGCTGCTCTCACAAAGTCACCAACAATCTAGTCAAATCAATGGTGTTTTCTCTGAACTAATGCTTTTTGAACTCTGTGGTATCTGATCTCATTCCTGAAACTCATCTGCTTTGGCTATCATGACACTATACTTTCTTATTTGTTTATTTATTTGTTTGTTTGTTTATTCATTTATTTATTTATTTATTTGCTGCTGGAAGACCATACTGTAATTATCTTTATCTCCTGTGCAGGTTCCTCTTTTTCCTTCTGACTTCTGATTAGATTCTCCAAGGTTCTCTTCCTACAAACCTCTGGTTAACAAACATTCCAGTTAACAAGCATTTATTATGTGCTTGCTACATATCAGGCACTGTGCTAAGTACTGGGGAGACAAAGAAAGACAAAAGCACAGTCTTTGCCCTGAAGGAACTCATCTTCTAATAGGGAAAGGTTTTACAAACAACCATATACTAACAAGATACACAGGGAACAGAGGAAAGGTAATCTTAGAAAGAAGTCACTAACATTAAGGGGGAGAAGGAAATAAAGGCTTCTTGCAAAAGGAAAATTTGAACTAAGATTTGAAGAAAGCCAGGAGGCAGAGATGGGGAGAGAGAATTCTAAACAAGAGGCAGAGCCAGTAGAAATAGATGGCAGAGATGAGGAGCAAGTAGGGCAATGTAGCTGGATCAGGGAGTTAAGTGGAGATGAATCAAATGTAAGAAGACTGGAAAGGTAAGAAGGCACCCAGTTACTACAGAGTTAACGCTCCTCTTTCACCTACTCTCAAATCTATAACTATCACCTTCACAGCCCTGGTACTCAAATCACAGGAGTAATTTGATAAATCACTTCTTTAAAATGGAAAGAATCTCAGAAATCACATAGTTGATCTGCCTCATTTTATAAATGTGGGTATGAAACCCAGAGTGGTTAATTGATTTTCAGGTCATTCCAGTAATAAGTAAACATAGCTACGCTTAAAGCCTAGGTTCTCTGGCTCAAAAAGTCCCTTCTCTATATTTATCCTCATCTCCATTTTAAGGCACAATCATATCCTGGGAAGAATACTAAATTTTCAGAGGACCTGTTTTCAAATTTCATCTCTTCTAATTGCCGTTCAATTTTTCTGGGTCTGTTTCCTTTTCCATAACAAAAGGTAATTGAAGTAAATGATCTATGTTCCTTTTTGCGTCCAAATCCTATATCTCCAGCCATGACATTTCATCTTACCTCCAGTCCAACATTTTAATGTTCTGCTGCCATCTCAGATATGCCACTAACATATCCAAAACAACACATTCCAACTTAAACCAACTACCTTTCCAGTTTCCAGCAATGGTTTCCAGTTACCTAGCCCTGAAAACTGGAATCCTCTTCCACTCTCTCACCTTCATTCCTACATTTAGTCAGTAATTAAATCCTGCCAGTATTTCCTTCAAAGTATCTTCAATTCATCACCTCCATACCACCATCATCCTAGGCCACCACTTTATGGGTGAACTACTGCACTAGCTAGCCTGCCTACATCCATTTTTTTTTCTTCTAATTCATCCTGTAGAAAACCACCAGAAGAGCTTTCCTAGTAGAACCTCCTTCATCTTCCCACTTGCCACCAGTTGTGACCAAATTCCGTTATCTGGTAATCAAGGTCTGACTCCATCTCTTCAACCCTGTATTCCCCTAAAAAAACTAAGCTATCTTTCATTGTAGTCAGTTCAACGTCCCAGCATCCTGTTTCCTCCAACTGAAATGCCAGCATCAGCTAAATCCTATTGACTTTTTAAAGAAGATGTAAGCAAGCTCCTTGAGGTCAGGGACTATTTAATTGCTTTGTTTTTGTATCCACAGACCCTTGCCTGATACATAGCACAAGAGTATCTGGCACACTGTATGTATCCCCAGCACTGTGTCTCCCAGATACTAGGTGCTTAATAAATGATTGTTGAATCTTCCAATAAGCCAAGGGTTCTTAATCTTTTTTTGTATCATGGACCTCTTTGGCAAAACTTATGAGCTCCTCAAAATAATGGTTTTAAATGCAGAAAATACACAGGGTTGCAAATGAAACCAATTATATTAAAATGCAATTATCTCAGGGAATACAGGAGAGATTTTGGCAATGTAAAAAACAAAGTATGAAGATAGCTATTCAATATCAGAATTGAAGCTATCAATATAAAATTTATTTTTAAAAAGAATAAAGGAAATAGTTGTCAAAATATTAAACAAACAATGAAAAACAACTTGATAGATCTCCATTTAAGAATTTCTGCAATAAGCCATCCTAGTATGGCTCTATTTAACTTAAACTCCTTATGGGTGGAGATAGTTTCATCTATTGTTTTTATTGCATCAGCACCTAGCACATAGCAGGTGCTTAAAAATTCCTGTGGACTAATTCATTGATTAAGTAAGTGCTCTGTGTACTAGCTCTAATTTTTTCATGCATATCTTATCTCTCCAACTTCAGGACAGGGACCTCTTCCAGTTCTTAATATCCCCTCCAGCTAGGGAGGTTCAATAAACAGGAACTGGATTCCAAATAGTAACTTTTACAATTCTGAGACCCTTCCAGGTGTTGTCATATTTCCCGACTGTATTCTCTGAAAGACACCTCTAGGTGGCATGTAATTGATAACACTTTGAATCTAGAATGACCACAGGTTTCCAACAGTGTTTTTGGATCTAAGGGTGAGAGGAATGTGCTTCCAGATTACACAATTGGATCACATTTTGGATCTAAGGGTTAGAGGAATATGATTCCAGGTTACACAGTTGGATCACACTTCACTTCACACTTCATGCCTGGTTTTAAATCTCTGAAAAAGCGTTTACTAAAAACAGAAACCCTTCCATGTCAGTGGAAGAGAGCTGTGTACGCCCTTCACTGGCCAAGGAGAAGAAAACTTACAAGGTTATTTGCCTAGTTCTAAGTGGAAATCCAACAAAAATGATCACTTCTGGGAAACCGAGAATAGCAGGGGTACCCTAAAGATCCTTTTCTAGTGAATACTCCAAGGGCCCAGGGCTCCCAATTGCCATCCTTTTATTGGTGATGGTTATCAAGGCATAGCAAGTACACACACACACACACACACACACACACACACACACACACACACACACACACCCCTCTTCCTCCTCCTCTTTCTCCTCCCCGGCCAGACTTCTCCGCTGTCAACCCTGCAGACAGCTGTGCAGTTAGTTAGTCAGAGGAGAGACTGGCGCACAGACTGGCAAAGAACAAAGCAGGAAGACAGGAGAGAATTCACCGGAGTCGCTTAGCCGAGTCCCAGCGCGCTCCAGGGCAGGTGACACAGATGCAGATTTCTCGGGACGAGGGGTTTGACAGTTTCATCTCCGCCCACTGGCTATAGAGCATAATAAAAAGCTCTGTAAACTCAGAGAGGGGGAAGGAGATTCGGAGCTTGCCCACCGAGCTCACAGTCTCACCGCCTCTGCAGGGAAGCTGGGCACCATGCACGTGAATGGCAAAGTGGCGCTAGTGACGGGAGCAGCGCAGGGCATAGGGAAAGCCTTCGTTGAGGAGCTTCTGCACAAAGGCGCCAAGGTGAGCGGAGCAAGAGGGGTCTAGGGAAGCGCAATGGAGAAACTGGAGGGAGGGTGAAGCAAGATGGAGAAAATGAGGGTCCGGGGGACTAGAGGGGCAGCTGGGGAAAACTGGAGGTCTCGGGGCCGGAGGGAAAGAAGGGAAAACTGAAGGTCTAAGAGGCAATGGAGTGATCAGGACAGACAAGTCATACCCGTTTTTGGTCCTCACGGACAAGTACCACCATCACACACTGCCTCCCCTCACTCTTTGCCACGCGGTTGCCCCAGGGTGCAACCGAGAACGATTCGAAAGAGATAGTCTTTCCTCAAAGCATTTTGCAAACTTAAAAGCGCTCTCTTAATGTTATCTATTAGTCCCAGGCGGGGATTCCCTTACTTTGGGTTGGAAGCTTTAGTGTTTGTAGGGGCAGAGAGCTTGTGATTACCTTCCAGAATTGAACTCCTAAGTTTGTGCCCCTGACACCTTCCCTTCTGCTGTTTATCTGCTCGCGTCATAAACTGCCCCCCCAACACACACACACACACACACACACACACACACACATACACTCTATGTTCTCAACAGGTAGCACTGGTGGATCTAAATCTGGAAGCAGGTGAAAAATGTAAAGCTGCCCTGGACGAGCTATTCGAGCCTCAAAAGACGCTGTTTCTTCAATGTGATGTAGCAGACCAGGAACAACTGAGAGGTAAAGGAAGGCTGGGGATTGAGGTGTGCGATGCGGAGGGCAATGAATCTGTCAACAAGAAAGGCAATCATGATCAGCCACGACCTGGAGCCAGGACGGTGTTACTGAGCCAACGTGTGTGCAATTTAGCAGCCTCCTGGAGTTCAGCCCACTGCTGATCAGCAGCAGATAAAGCTTTGAAGCCTGAGCCTCTTCCACCAAAGAAGTTCTGATCAATAGTTACATTACAAAGGAAAAGCAAAGAACATAGACAAGTTCTTTTTCTTTGTTTCAGAAACTTGTGTATTGCAGAATTTTGTGCATGTGTTTTTGTTGTCCTTGCCCAGTAAGTCTAAAGGACTGAAATCTCAGTGATACTTTTTAAGTTAGAGGAATCTAGAGCAGGGCTTCTTTAAACTTTTTTCCACTCACGACCCCTTCAGCGCTTCTTAAACTGTGGGCGGTGATCCCATATGGCTCTAGATTCTAGAGGAACCGTCAAACGAATTTCTTAGGAAAGCTCCAAAACATTTAATGCGGAATTAAGGGAGGATGCAAATGTTGTTTCTCCCCCCCCCATATGTTTAGAATATGAGTTCAAGGATCGTTGTCAGTTGCATGCAATGTACTTTGAACCAGACATTCTCTGGCTCTTTCATTGTTGCATTTATTTCATTTGTCTTTTGCTAATAACTGCAAACTCAGTGCTGAAAAAAAAAATCTATCGAGCTTTCCTGTTTCTGTCAGCTCAACTTAAACAGGTCAATCAACTTGTGAAAAGTCAATGGCAATATTGAATTGAAATACACCAAGCAGACATGAAGACTTGGGAGGCCTGATAATTGGGGGGGGCAAGAAATACAGTTATAAGCCAATAAACAGAAATGAAACTTTTTATTTGCCACTGTATAAGGGAGAGGAAGAGATGTGGGTCAAAGGGACCTCAAAGCCCATCTAATCCATTCTGCTCCACTCCTTCATTTTACAGTTGAGGAATTCAGGGTCCCAATGATTAAGTAACTTACTCAGGATCACACAGATGTTGTCAGGCTAGATTTGACACCAAAAATCCATTAGGGGATATATGTAATATACACATGTACATATACATAACATGTGTGCATGTAGATAGATATATTTATGTATATATACATATATGTATTATATATGTAATTTTAAAAGAGCAGAATATGTAGACTATAACTTTCCCTACTAATTAAAAATTGTGATGCATTTAGGAAATAACTTAGACAAACTTTAAGAAATGGAATTTAACTCATCATAAGTAGACGAGAACAAATTTTGACTATGAAAGAGAGTTTATGAAGACTTAAGGAGCTGACATCTGGAAGGGTAACCCTTTACACATTAGGAAGTCTGTGCTTCACACAATAGAAAGTAAGCTTGTGCATCTTGTTATCCCAAGAAGTTTTACGGAACACAAATAACAACTTTGAGGATGACTTACATAAACCTCCAGCAGGGTTAGCCATCTGTGTCGTTACTCTTAGCTGCTGACATTTTTATGGCACTTTATAATTCGAGGGAACTACCTCTGTAAGCATGCTTTAGGAGGTCCCTTACCTGCTTAAAATCATCTCGCCCACTAGCCAACCAACCACTTTATACTAAAACATTCTGTTATCCAAGAAAATGGATGTGTTTAGCAAGCTAGGACATTTGCAAGGAGTTAGTCATCTATTTAAATAACCATCCAGGGAACTAAAAGGGATGTGGCTTAGAGATAAGGTTTTAATGGAGATGAGTTAAAGGTTCAGGACCAAGTGCCTCACCAGGAGGAGGCCCTACAAGAATCCAAGACTTGATGAAAGGGAATGGATTACTTATTGAAAAGGGGTGAAGAGGTCCCTAGAAGAAAGATTTGAAAAACAAATTTTATTTGCCTCAAAGTAGCATCAATTGTAGTTCCATGGTTGGTGGTGACAGAGAAGAGAGGGTTTTCTAGTGTGCCCTTTACAACATGGGAGGATTTTGTCACGGAAAGCATCATGCTTCCATGTTTTATTCCCTTTGTTATTGTCAAAATTCTGGGGTAGGCTGGTCAGTTGTCTGACAGCATAAAAATAGACGATGTTCCATTCTGTTATGAAAGAATGAGAAAAACTTGTGATATAAGTGAGATTGTTCACATACTAAGGGGAAGTGGCTTTAAAGAAGTCCTAGAGTTGTATTTTGAAAATGCTAACAAGTTACGAAATAAGGAACTAGTGATTTGATTGGGGGTGGGGAGGGGGAGGGCAAGGGCAACACCGAAATGAGATGAATGTATAAATCAAAAACAACACTTACTCATCCTAGGCATTGTGGCATTGAATGATGCTGGCTTATTCAGAGTCCTGGTAGGCAATAGATATCTCAGTATACTAGCATACAGTAAATACAGTCAGCATTGTGGTTAATATGTAACCATTTGACCTGACTTTAGAATGCATTACATTTTGACCTGACTTTAAGAAGGTATATATAGTCTTGAACCTTTTCCTTGTAATTATGGTTTACCTGAGCCAATATTTAAAATTAGTTTACCAGTCCCAGGGCATAGGTGTTGGGCAGGGGAGGTGACCAGAATGTATGCTAAGTAGAAGAGGGCAGTTATCCTGGGCGTGGGTAAAGCTACATGTAAAATGTTTGAGAGTTGATGATACATCAACCTTTTATCTCTATCTAAGGAAAACATTTCATGGAGTCTGCTTCCCCTTCTGACCCCCTCAAAAAAATGACCACTGAAAGAGTATAATAATGTAAGGGATTTTGTTTTGTTTTTAATGCTGCCCAGGACAGTTTATAAAGTGGCTACTTTCAACTTTATTGTAAGCTTTAAAGCTAGACAGGACTTCAAAAATTGTTTAGAAAAATAACTTTATGTTATAAATAAAGAAACTGAAACCCAAAGTTGTGATTTGTCCAAAGTCACACAGCTAGTAAGTGACCAAGAATCTGTCTGAAATCTAGTTCTCTTGCTGTCTTTCAGTAGAATTATAGACTCACAAGTCTAGAGTTAGAAAGAACCTCAGGGCTATCTAATCCAATACCTTCATTTTACAGATGTGGAAACTGAGGCCCAAAGAGGGAAAGTAACTTGCTCAAGGTCACAGAGAATAAATGACAGAGGCAGGATTCTACCTTAGGTCCTATAGTATACCAAGTTCTGTGTTTCTCTTTCAATATGATTTCCATCCTTTTAAGGTCTAACTCTGTCTGCCTCAGTTTCCTTATCTATAAAAAGAGGATAATAATAGCACCTGTCTCCCAAGGTTGTTGTGAGATTAAAATGAGATAATATTTGTAAAGTGTTTAATATATATATATATATATATATATATATATATATATATATATATTATATATATATATATATATATAGAGAGAGAGAGAGAGAGAAAGAGAGAGAGAGAGAGAGAGAGAGAGAGAGAGAGAGAGAGTACTACAGTACTATATACTGGTAACTATTGCTTGGCAACCAATAGCTGCACATAAAATTGCAAAGTCACACTTACTATGTACCACAAGTGCTATCTGAATCAGAAATAAGAAAACTACATTAGAGTGAGATAACGTATGAGACAAGAGTTCTGCAAACTTTAAAAAAACTATATACATGCTACCTATTATTGATACTCTGAAGCCCTTAGAAAGATGCCTTTCCTTTTTCCTCCCAATTTGTTTATACTTCTTTTCTTCCAATCAATTAATTTTCCACGACTCCCAGGAATGCTAGATCCTTGAGACTTTTGTCTTTGTATCCCCAGGATCCAGCAAGGTCCCTAGCTCATAGTATGTCTAATAAATACTGGACGTGAATTGAAATGTGATCTACCTCTTATTTACATATAGGCTTGGGAAGTCAGAAGATAAGAAATAGGGAACCATGTGAGATGCCACTGAACAAAGATTTGTCTACAGTTGGTTGATTTTCAGCAAGCGAGGGCATTAGGATTTGAATGCCAGGGGAAAGAAATAATTTTATTACTCTTCAGATCACTGCCATAAATGGGAGTAGGGAGCGCAGTATTATAGTTCTTTTTGGTTATACTAGTCTATTTATTTGTTAAAATTTATAACAATCATATTTGTCTCTTGAAAGATTTAAGGAACCCACAAAGGTCTCCAGTGGTTATGTGGTTTCATTCAATAATGTATTTCCTAATACCTATTGTTGCTATAACCTGCCTCTCGCTACATCTTTCCCAAACACTTCTGATACAGGTCATTAACTTCATGCAGGAAAAAAGAAGTATCAACTCGTAGGTTGAGAGTAATCAAATTCTATTTAGACTTGAAAACTGCCTTAGAATACTTGCTCTGACTTTGTTTACTAGTATCGGTAGTTATCAGAATATCAGTTTGATTGTTCCAGTTTTTGACCTGAATTACACGATAATTTTTTTAGTGTTACATTTGATGACCAGTGTTTTTCAGCTGATAGTTAATAATATAATCATACAATAATAGGTTCATATTGTTCTAACCTAAGTCATAGGGATCTAGTAATTAATTCCTTGCTGATGTAGGAAGTTGTTGGAAAGCACAAGCAGCTAAGAGTTATTTATATTCTTCCTTTTTCTAGAATCCATTATGTTGTAACAGAACCTGGAAAATAGCTTTTGCCAAAGCAGTGTAGATCTGAAAATGCATTTGTTGAGAACTGTTTGATGTAGAAGATAAGAAGACAGCTGAAATATATTCTATTTTTTTCCCTTGGAATTAGATACTTTTCGAAAAGTAGTTCAACATTTTGGAAGATTGGATATTTTGGTCAATAATGCTGGAGTGAACAACGAAAAACACTGGGAAAAAACTGTACAGATTAATTTGGTGAGTGTTATCTGAGTCTTCTACTTATCTAGGGTATGTTTAGCAAACTATGTGGGGGAGGAATGTGTTTAGTCTATTTTTACAAGATGTGTTCATTCAAATGAGCACATGAACTATGAATACAATAGTATATGTCTAAGGAAAAAAGGAGGAAGTTACAGAATGTTAGAGAGAGTTATTCCTCTTTGAAAAACAGGAAGGCATTCTGGGGACTGAACTAGAGAGATGACTGTCTTAAAATACCAAAAGGAAATTAAAAAAAAAATACCCAGGGTCATTTCTTAACTCATCTTTTTAAAAGTGATAACAAAGAAAAACAAAGGGAAACATTTGAATGAAGTCCAGGTGCACAATGGCAAGCATGGTTAAGCTGAAATTGGACTTTGGGATTTTTATATGAAGGTACTTTGTTATGAGAGCTGTGCTTTTCCATTATGATTCTGTTACTCCCATTATATAAATAAAGTTTCCTTGGATTTGGAGTGAGAATATCTGGGTTCAACTTTACTCAGCCAGTTAACACTGGGTTGCATAATCATTTTTGGCCTCATTTTTTTATCTGTAAAAATGAGGGTGTTAGACCAGATGACCTCAAAGTTGCCTTCAACTCTGCAAGGATAATACACTGTGATTCCTGAAGTTCATCTGCTGACTTTACATAGTTTGCATGCTTATCAATATAAATAGACTTATCTAAGGACATTAGATATTTTTGAAGCTATGCCCAACCTATGTTGTGGGAGATATCCTGCCCTGCCTTGGGCCACATCTTTCTGGGTGTGGTCAGCAAACTCGTGTGATCACACAGTTTGGATGGAGACCCTCCCCTTGCTGTTGGGGCTTTGCCTAGTGTAGCTGCTCTAGAATGATGCCAATGAGGCCATGGCCACAACAGTTTGATTCATATATACACAAGTCAATTTCAAACAGAAAAAAAGCTCTTCTATGTTCATTATTCTGTCCATTGACACCTGTCAGAATGGAAACTGGGTGAAAGAGTTTAAGTTAATCAGAGTTAAGATATCACCGTCACTGGATATCAAATGAAATATTATTCTATTGACAAAGGTTCCATCCTTTCTTATCCCTATAAGAGATAAAGCTTAACACTGTATTGAAGAGGTCTAGGACTTTTGGGGTTCTGTTGGGAACCCCAAGATCGTGGTACCCTGCCTCAATGAATTCAACTCAAATCTTCTTCAAGCCAGAGGAAAAGTTTATTAGGGATAATTTGCATAGGCCAGGTGACGCCCGTAAGGACGAGTGGGCATGAGAAAGTCTTAGCCTTTTGGGCATGAGAAAGTCTTAGCCTTTTGAGCATGAGGTTCTCAGTTTCTGAATGGGAGCCAGGGTGGAATTTTTATACACTGAAGTAACTTTGAGTGGCAGAGAAGGGAGCTGGGAAAAGGGTCTAGGTGAGAACTTGATTGGAAGGTCTGAGAGATTGAATAGACAATGGGAATAGCTAATGGAGGGAACAGGAAGGCAGAAGTTTGAAAGGCATCTGCACAAAATCAAAGGGTGGGGCTAGGACTTTCAAAGGGAGATAAGGGGAGTCGATGAGGAACTGTCTGAGACCAGAGTAAGGCCTTTCTGGTACCCATAGACAAAAGGGAGCCAGATTCTTTTAGGGCCAGGGGCAAAGGTGCATATGAATAAGATTAAAAGGTAAGGCTAAAGCTTTCAAAGGGAGATGAGGCGCTGGGGCCTGTAGACAAAGGGGAGCCAGATTCCCTTTGGGTCAAGGGGTGAGGACCTCGGCTTGGACCACACCCCATCATGTATCATAAGAGTTTTTGATTCCTTTTATTAACCTTAACTATTTGGGCTCCAAAATTTCCTCTTTTTCTGAGAATGTCACTTAGCTGACTGGAGCCTTTCTTAAGATGTGTTAAAAATCAGTCATTCCTCTTTTTTGTATCTAAGATAAGAAACCTGTTAGAGGTAAATGGAATATATGACACCTATAATTTCCTGGGCAACTACTCCCTCTTTGTTCATGAAGGAATCTATAACCAAGCTCAGGGTCTGTAGCTATCTTTTGGCATGTAATCTTCCCCTCTCAATTAGCCCATTGTAAACCCTCCAAATGTAGCCTTGAAATGCAAATCTCACAAGCCTAGTGTTGAGTAATTCTCTTAAACTTATATCAGTAAAAAGTTGTTTCTTCTTTCCCTGGTAATGGGTGAAATTCTGTCTCCATTGTGAAGGCCAGAAAGCAAAAGTCATTCCTTTGTCTCTCTAATGTAATTGCAAGTTATAGAAGCCTTATGAATGCTCTGGTCTGGGTTCAGCACTAGTTTTTGAACTCTGGACCTGTGTTAACACATAATAAAGAAACCTAGGTTTTGCTTCCTTGATCTCTAAGTGTTGATAGTGTCAATTGGCATCGGTACCTATCAGCGGATGCTACAGGTATTGCTATATCAGTTGATACCCAAGAATGATCTGAGCACATTGAAAGATTGTTTTGTGAATTCTGTTTTTAATCTAATGGGGTTTCTTAAAGTATTAATTTAACTGGTGCCTATAAGCAGCATCAAAAGGTATTTAAGTTCCATTTAGGGACAGAGAATGGAATTGTCATTTCATTGTCCTAAAGAAATGCCATCTTATAATGCTGATCTTTACCTCATCTGCAATTTATAGTCTGAGCATTGTCTAGGGCATTGAGAGGTTAAGTGACTTGCCCAGGGTCACACAGTCCAGTGTATGTCAGAGGGAGGAGGACTTGACAGAAGTCTTTCTGGTTTTCAGGTCACCTCTCTGTCTACCACACCATGCTGCCTATTTAAGTGACATATTATGATTTTGTTAAGCTATTTACTCAGAGCTGGTCTTGACAATACAGTGACTCTAATAATTTGCCAGATATCTGTCATTATTAGAGACTTCAGCCAGTTGATAAATTTAGATAAACAATTCCTTTCAAAGAAGGAATAGGAATATTTCAAATGTATATAAATAAATGAGATTTGGTACTTAAGAGAGATTTCCATTACACTAAAGTAGATAGATTTATCTTCCTTTTCTGGCCTTCTGGCCTAGGTTTTTAGTTTACTGTTTCTTTCATCCTTTTACCTTAAACATGTTGCCAAAGAAAATTTGGTTCAAAGATTACTACAAACAATTTATACTGGGGGAGAACAGTCTTTGTATCCCCAAATCCCAGCATAGTGCCATGTGCTATAGGCATTTAGGAGTACTTGAATGGAATGGTCCCAGTGCCTCAATATACTTTCCTTTCTCAGTGATGCCAGAAATCCTTTAACTAGGCAAAGCCTTTTGTTGATTCATAGCATACAATGAGAGGGTCAGAGAAGGCTTAAATTGTAACTACTCCCTGGGGGAGAGGTAGGTAACACAGGAGCAGCTTCATTTTATAATATAAATGAGGGATTTCTGTTCCTTTCCTCTGAGTAAGTTTTAATAGAGGAGATAGTGAGAAAGTAGTATGACATCAAAGGAGAGAGAGAATGGAAAAGTGGGAATGGAAAACCAGTATAACCTTGATTTCAGTTAGCATATATCACAACTCCTAATTAGCAGGAATCACATCATTCTCAGAACCCTATTGATTTTTTCCAATTTGGGTGGCTCTGTTTTTCCTTTCCTGACCTCCAATCAATGAAAAATATCTTTTACATTTAGAAAAAAAATCCCCCAAAAAGGACCATTGGAGAACATGGATAGGATTTCTGGGTGAATATTTTAGGCAAATATGTATATGATTAATAGTTCTATCCAAAGTTGAAGATATCAAATTTCTCCTTATTTCTTTTTTCTTCTCTCTGTTCCCAAAATCATCAGATCACCTGTGTTTTTGTTTTATGTGGTTTTTACACCACAGAATTGTAGAGATGATCATGGAAGATAAGGATAGAAAGTGATTTAAGGCGCTGTAGAAGAATCAGCCAGTATTATAATGGCTTCTTTCCCCAAGTTCCCTACCCATTATTAAAATCTAATCTTAGGCTCCCTCATTCACAGTAAAGTATAAATGGCTGGTTTCATCTTAAAGATTGTTCTCTCCTAAAGATATTGGTATTTTAACTGGGGTCAAAACCTTAAGCTACAAGGAAGAGAAGCTCTAGTATCAGATTTCAGGCATTCATCAGCCCCTGTGGAAATCCCTTAGAAGATGGTGGCCTAGTTCTTCAAGCTGACCTAGTTCTTGCTTGGCCAGGTTGAAAAGGTACAGAGTATAACCCAGAAAGAATACTGAATAAGGAAAGCTAGGTTATAGTTCTAGTCTTGCCATTAACTAGCTAGAGGATTTGGGGCAAGTCATTGAACCTCAAAAAAATCATAGAATGCAAACATTGGAAGGGATTTAGCAGCAGTCATCCAGTCCAACTCATGCTATAACATACAACTCCCTCTACAACACACCTAATTGGTGATGGTGGTTGTTAATCAGTCACACAGTCGTGTCTGACTCTTCATGACCTCAGTAGAGTCTTCTTGGCAAAGATACTGGGGTGGTTTGCGATTTTCTTCTCCAGCACACTTTATAGATGAGGAAACTGAGGTAAACAGAGCTAAGTAATTTGCCCAGGGTTGCACGGATACTGATTATCTGAGGCTAGATTTGAACTCGGGTCTTCCTGACTCCAGGCCCAGCACTCTGGCCACTGAGCTGCCTCCTCAAATGTGGTTGTACAGCCTCTACTTGGATACTTCCCAGCAAGGACAACCCCTCTACCTCCTGAAGCAGCCTATTTTACTTCTGAGTAGCACTCATTGTTAGGAAGCTTTTCTTGGCACCAAATTTGAAACCTCCCTGACCCTCAGTTTCCTCCTCTGTAAAAGGAAAGGATTTGACTATATGACTTCTAAGATCTCTTCAAATTCTTATGTTATATGAGCAGTTCTGCCAGCCAAGGTGAGAGCAGAGAGGTTGCCAGGAAGTCTTTGAAAGAGTGTTGCTAAATTTTCAGTTCTTTCCTGGCCACCCCTTTTAATTTTGTAGTAAACTTTAGGACTTAACAAGTGCCAGG